ATTTGTTTTGAACTTTTTTCGTTATAATTACACAAACAAAAACCAAACTAAACACTGAAATGACATGTACGTACGTAAATATTTATAAACAAATGGCATAAATTGCAAATTTCTTTTTACATAAACTGACGTAAGGTAACGTAAAATTTTCTTATTGTAGTATAACGATCTCGCTGTTTTTATATACAGGGTGATGTGAGGGTATTGTTACGCTGTTACTTATTTTACAAACTGAAGTGAAGAAACACAGAATAATTTATAGTTTCTCGAATTTCAAATGACTTAATTACAGAAAAAACACAATTAAACTACGGAGAGAACGGTTGGTGGAAATTTACAGTCTCGATTGCTTGATATGATATATTGTAGGTACCTACATATGTATATTTGTAATACAGTTAAATATGCTTGTTGCTTGGATGGTATTGAAAACATATTTACACATCATGTTTGTATGTATGTAGGTATGCTTGGAACAACTGAGCTTTGAGTTTGAGATAGTTTTTGTTTTTTTTTTGAATTAAATAAAATTTGCAGTAGCAAAGAGCCAAAAAATTTGTTAAATTCGATTATAGACGAAAATTCGGAAACTAGTTTCGGGGGAAAAAGTATACACAGAAGATGCTTAAAGGAAGTGGAAATTCAGAGAAGAAAGGGTTTGTTTTCAGGGGCCGAGAACACGTTCCGGTTTTGGTTTTGTTCTGAACGAGAACAAAATTAAATATCAAGAACGTATCCACAAAAGAACCAAATGGCCACAAAGTGTCTAGAGCAGTTTGAACGAGAACAAAATAAAAATTACAGGTTCGGCAACGTTTCCGTAAAGAACAAAATGCCAACAAAAATCTCGGTAACGTTCTCCAGGAGAACAGAGTGACAACGAAACCTTCAGGAACATTCCCAAAAGGAATAAAATGAGAACGAAAGCATTGAGAAAGTTTTCAGGGAGAATCAAATGAGAACAAAATTCTGGGGAACGTTCTGCTAAAGAACAAAACGAGAAAAAGTTTTGAGAACTTAACATAAAGAATGGGCATAGGCACTTATGCACTAACCGCTAGAGCGTTCAAAAATTTGCGTCTCTAAAAAACGAGTCTTCTTTTGAAAGATTTTGGTGTCTTGAACATAAAAGAGCTTCCTTACAGCAAATAAACATTTAATCCTAATTATAAGAATTAAGGAGAGTAGAGCTGATTTGTGAAGAAAAGCCTCTGATGTAATTATGATGAATAGAGCTGATTTGTGAAGAAAAGCCTCTGGTAAATGTATACAGATTTTTAGCTGGTACCTTGTACCGTCAGTATTTTTCGGAGGTCAAGCCCTTACAGCTTTCCTGGACAGAAATCTGCCGTAAAAGTCGAGAAAAATGCATCGTGGAAAGGGGAAGAAAGGCGTCGGTTACCGTACACTTAATGCTTTAGGACAGATATTGGTAATAGATAGATGGGTACTATCGACCAAAATAGTAGGAGACATTCGCGCCATCATAATTGGTATTAGTGGGGCTAAGTGTCGTGCAGGACATAAGGCCTGTCGATACGGCAGGTAGAATTACCGCAACATGAACTGCTATTAGGCTAAGGGAATCCGATTAGCTTCTTCTCGACCAACTATACATTCCCTATGCAGATATTTGGGTGGGTCGGGGTGACTGGAAAAAAAGGAGCGATTAACTTTTTACGGATAGATCCAAACTTGAAGTTAGGGTTGATGGAGATCTTGTCAGCCCGGAACATTCCATGAACACTAAACTCAGGAACGCAGTGTTTTTATACAGAAGTAAGTGGCCTTAAAGTAGCAGTGGACTTACTGCTCAAGAGTGTGATATCAATGAAGGGGCTAAGCATATACATACTCTGATAGCCAAGCAACTGGGCATGCAAGGAAATCTGTAATCGTGCTATAAATCGCATCGGAGTACTTTTGGCAGAGACATTGCGAGAAATTTATGACCTGGAAAGATAAGGTACCCGTGAAACGTTATTATCATTAGATAGAGCGCAGTGAGCGCAACTTTGGTATCCAGTTGATGGGCCTAACGCCAGTTCTGTTTAAGCTTATGAATCTTATGGCGAAATTTTCCACGAATAATAGCAATTTTTTGATGATTTTTTTCAATAGTAGCATAAATGTTGAATTCTATTAAGCTAGTATTGGAATTGGAAAGTGGAGTACCACGACTCAGAGCTCCCCACAAAGAGCTTTCTTCCATATTTGGAACATTAATGGCTAAGCTGTTGGAAATATCGATCGCTAGTTATCGAAAAATCCACTTAAAACGGATATTAACCCTTTCAGTACCAAAGAAAAAAAATTGACAGTTTTTAGATGACCAAAAATTCTTGTCCGCTTTATAAGTTACCAAAAACTTATACTAATTTCTTAATCAGCCAAAATTTATGCCCAGTCTTTAGAATACCAAATTTTAATGTCCAGTTTTGGCAAATTTTATGACATTACCAAAAACTAAGGCCAAATTTAATATTCAATTTTCAAATTACCAAAAATTAAAGTCCAGTTTTCGCATTACCAAGTATTTACGAAATTGTCTAAATTTTTTTGTATTACTATGGATTAATGTTAATTACGTTAATTTCTTAAATTACCAAAAAATTATGTCCACAAATTTGCTTAACAAATTTATGTATGTACATATTTTATATAGTCAAAAAAATATGATATGTCTTTAAATTACGAAAATTAAGGTCCAGTTTTTATATTACTAGGAATTTATGTACAGTTTTAAAGTCACCAAAAAAAGTTTTTAAATTCCCAAAAATATTTGCCCTAAGAATTTATGTCCAGATTTTCAGAGAGCAAAAAATGATGTCAAGTTTTCCAATTATCAAAAAGCAAACTGCAGTTTTTTATTCACCAAGAATTTGTGGCCTAGTTTTTAAATTGCCAAAGAAAAATATATCTGTTTTTTTCAAGGATCAAAAATTTATGTACACGTTTATGTTCAGTTTTGAATAACTGAATATGTATTTATATCCGGACTTTAATTTACTAAAAATTTATTTTTATTGGCAACAATTACGTCCAGTTTTCGCACTAACTAACAGTTTGTGTCTAGTTTCTAAATAGTCTGGAAAATATGTCCAGTTTTTAAGTGATTAAAAAATTATGTCAAGTTTTAAATCTTCTCTCAAAATTTGTTCCAGTTTTAGCATTACCAGCCATTTATGTCAAATATTCAAGCAACCAAAAATTTATGTTCAACGAATGTAAGATTATATCAAGGTTTTGTACCAAATTACTAAAAAAAAAAGGGTTCAGTTTTTTTAAGGACCAAGAATTTGTGTCCGGTGTTTAAGCTACCAAAAAACGGTGTCTAGGTTTTGCAATCCTAAGAATGACAAGTATTCTATCAAAAGTGTTTCTGCATGATTTAGTTGACCAAAAATTGATGTCCAGTTTTTAATGAAGAAACATTTACGTCAAGCTATTAAGCTACCAAAAAATATTTTCACCAACAATTGTTTAACACTTTTTTAAAAATCAAAAATTTATGTCCAGTTTTTAAATTACTAAAAAATATAAACAGTTTTTGAATGACCACATGTCAACAACAACAAGTGTAACAATTTATGTTCAAAAAAATTTTGCTCGCTTTATGTCCAGTTTTTACTTTCAGGCACTCAAATAAAGAAATTATGTGAAGTTTTAGTAGTTTCGTTAATTTTATTTTAACGGAAAATTCAAAAAAAAATTTTTTGTAAAGTTATGTTTATACAACACTTAAAAGAACAATCCATAACTAAAACTTTGTTTTTTTTTTACTTATAAGCTTTTAGTCCTGAAAGGGTTAATAAAATAATAACCTATGCCGTTCTTGTTTCGAATGCATTTTCGCATTATTTTTGAAAAGTATTCAAATAAAATTAAAACCGTTCTCTGCCTATCACCCTGTATATGCATTAAGTTATAAAAACCGAAAAGCTCTTTTTCTTGCCCTAAATATTTTTTAATCGTATGGGTTTATTTGAATTTTAATTAGCTATGAAGAATTTCAAAAAAAAAAAATAATAATAAATAGATAAGCAATTCAATTTGTTTAATGATTTTTAACTAAGAACTGCATTTAACCCGTTGAGGCGCATGATGCAAGATAAAATAATCTGACTGCACAGTTGTTTTTTATCAACTGGTTAAAAGTCAATTGTCAAAGTAAAATGGCAATTTGTGTCAGGCAGGTTAAAATTTGCCACAACTCTTTTAACCCGCCTAGCCCCAAAGAGTCAAATATATGTATATTTATTTAAATTTTAGTTAACCAAAGCTGTAAGCTTTAAAATTTTGAAAACATTTAAATACTTAGGTTTTGTAACAGCCAACGAAATATCGAAACTGAAGCAACACTAACAACAATTAACGCAGGTTTAATTTCGAATGCGAAACTCAAAAGCAACAATAAATATTTTTTTTTTGTTTAAATTTTAATTTTGCAACTAAGCTTTAACGACAATTTTATTAAAAAAAATTTGAATAAAAATAAATTTTCGCTTAATAATTTTATAGTTTTTATTCTTTAATAAATATATATGTATATAAATTTTGCAGCGCACAACGAAACAACAGAAAAACGGAATTCTGCAAATTTTCTTGCTCTTTATACTGTTTTTTTATTTATTTAATTTTCACTTAAGCACATAGAAGCTGCTATTTTTTTAATTAATAGCTTTGAAAATATATTTTTCTTTCATAGGTTTTGTTTTATATTAAATTATATTTCGTTTCAATTTGTTTACTTTATGTTAAATTCTATTGTTATTTGTTGTGGTGGGAAAGCAACGGGATTTGCGGTAATCTGCATTATGTTTGTGTACGTACATATTTAAAGGATTAGGGCATACAATTTAAGGGGTACTCGTTGTAGGGCTTTTGTGTGTGGCTATGGCTGAGTGGGTGGGGGGGCGGAAGGGTTGGAGGGCATATGTGTTTGTCTGAGTGTATATTTGGGGAAGTGCAAAACACTAATGGAAACGTTATGAACTCACCATCATGTAGCGGATCTATTGTGTGTATCATAAGCTGCAATAGGCCATGACGGAATTTTGCACCGGTGTGTGTACTACCAGCAGTTCCACCACTGCTATTACCTGTGGCTCCAGCGCCGCTGCTCGATCCCGGCGGTCCTGAGCGTGTCTCCGAAGCGGCTCGCGATGTCACCGAACCGCCCGGTTGTGTGGCCATCGATGTTTCCGATGAATTCGCCGCATTGCCCTGCGATTGATGAACGAACGATTGATTTGGTTGATAGTTTTGATTGTAGTTGTAGTAGTAGTGATGGCAGTTTTGTAGTTGTGGTAGTAGGTTGATGTTGTTATTAGTTTTGGTTGGTAGTTTTTTTTTGTGGTTTGCCGTTGTTGTTGTAGTTGTTGAAAGATTGAACGTAGGTGTTTTTTTGTTTGTTTCACAGAAGAGATGAGAGAAAAGAGAGCAAACATGTTTGTGTTGTTGAGAGAAAATTTTTGTAGTTTTTAAGGACAATTAGAATAGAAAAAATGAACAAGAGAGAGGTAGAGAGGCAGTAAAAGAAAGCAAATGGAAGAGAAAAAAAGTACAAAATAATATATTTTTAATTTATATATTCATACAAATATTTTATGTACGTATGTAAATACATAAGAGCTAATATATATAATATAAGCATAACTGTTAGTTTAAGTATTTTATATACAGTGACTCAAACAATTACCACATGCTGATTTTTTTTTTAATATTCGTAATGATTTCGAGCTAAATTTCGAATGTTATTTTTCTATAAAAATACCGTCGAAGATTTAACCAAAAGCATATAAATCACAGTTTCAAAATTAAGGTAAATTCAATAAATTTTTATAAAAATGTAAACTTTTTAATCTGAATCTTTGGAACATTTTTGGATGTGCAGTCTTATAGCCCATACAATTCTAGTTTAACGCGTTGCAAGTTTCAACCGGCTAAAAAATCGCGTTGATTTTTGAGAAGTTTTTACACTTTTTTTCCATAAAAGCATGAATTTGCTATGAAATAAAAAGCGGGATACCGTTGGAAAAAAAATTTCAAAAAATCAATGCCAAGTGTTCTTATTATATAAAAAAAAAAAAACGAAAAAGCACTCTCCAAAAAAATTCTAAAAAATCAACGCAATTTTCAAACCGGTTGAAACTTATACTTGATTAGACCAAAATTGTATGGGCTATAAAACTGCATACCCAAAAATGTTCTAAAGATTCAGATTAAAATATTGAAATTTCGATGCAAATTTGTTGAGTTTTCGTAAATTTTGTATAAAGCTTAAGCTCACTTTTTATGCATAAGGCCCTGTGATTTATATGTTCTTGAGTAAAGCTTGAACGGTATTTTTATAGAACAAACAAAAATTTTGTTCGAACAAGTTGCGAATATTTCAAAACTATCAACACGTGGTCATTTGTTTGAGTCACTTTGGGGTTTTTTTTGAAGGCGTGAAACAAGAATGTGCTTAACGCCACAGGTTAAATCACGTCATTTATTTTATATTTATAGAGCTTCTATATTTTGTTGGAACTACTTAAACCGTTTTTCGTTCTCAATTTAATTGTTTAAATAATGTTTAGATAGTATTATTTTAAAAAATAATATTTCTTTTTAATTCAATTTAATTTATCTAGTTTTTTTCGTGTTTAAATTAAATTTATATTTTAGTTAACTTTTTTTAAAGGTTTTATATGAAACTGTTAATTTTTTTTAAATTTAATTAAATTTTTAGAAACTTACTTTTATTATTTTTTCTTCCTTTTAAATTTAATAAGTACATTTTTTATAAATAATCTTTTATTTATTAATTTTTATTGTTTAAAAGTAGTTTTTTAATTTTACTTAATTTTTAGGAACTTATTTTGTTTATTTATTTTTTAACTTAATTTGTTTTTCATTTTTAAATTAATTTTTAAATTTAGATATTTATTTTGATTAACTTGTTATTTTTTATATAATTTTGTTTCTAGATTTTATTGCTTTAAGAAGAAAAAAATATTTGTTTTAATTTCACTTAATTTTAAAATTTTTTTAAATTTATTTTCGCTTTATGCATTTCAATTTTTATTAAATATAATTTTCTTTTATTTAACACTTTTTGTTGTCTTTAAAAGCCAACTATTTAACGGTAGGTGAGATTAGGTTAGGAGGGCGTCTGTGGAATATACCATACTTTCACTCGGAGGCAGATTGTCCATTGTGAGTGCCCTCTTTAAGCGAGTTGTAGGAGCAGACACGTACTTGTAATCGAAAAAGTAGCTTCAAGTCATTATTATACTGAGACAATGGACCTTATGAATAAAAACAAGGCAATAGCTTTTTCTTAAAATTCCAGACCTTTTACTCGATTTAATTAAAGAAATTTAAGGAAAAGATCTGAAATTTTAAGAAAAAGCAATAGCTTAGTTTTTATTCATAAGGCCCAACAACTATCCCTAATGAATCATAACGCTAAGATCTCCTCGTTACCAGAGCTTTCAATTAGTCTTTCGATAATTGCCATACGAAACCATTGCTAGAATTGCCAATGTTTCATTTCTAGATAGTCTGGACGTAGTTTGAGGGATGGCCAATGCCTTGAGTGCAGTTTGGCTGTCACTACTGACTTACCTACTCACCGAAATTAGTTTATTGGGTTTATGAAACTATAATAAAGCCAAATTTTTTTTATGGGGTACTCGTCTGGTGAAACGCCCTAAGCAAGCCCTTCATGGTTAAACGGCTGGAAGGAGTGTACAGAGCAACCTGAATTGGAATCAGTGAACCACTTTGAACCACTTTGATAAACGTTGTGCCCATAGATATAGCAGGCAGAGTTGCCGCTCGCTGCTCGCGGCGCAATAAGGCCAAGGTGGTGGACTTTAAGTTCACTTCGGGCTATGGGGACGCTGATATTCTGAAAAGCTTCGAGTTCCTAGCAACTCGAACAGACCACTGCACACTGAGGTTGGGTCCGAAGTGACTTTTCACCACCCATATCCCAGCGAGGGAGAACTATAAGGGGTGCACTATCTGAAATTGGTGTCCAGTAAACGTATTTTCGGATGGAGGAGTGTAAGTGGATGTGTCTTTTGCGAAGAACTCTCCATCAACCTTAAATTCAGGCTACGCGATCGCTGTAACATTTTACAGGCAGACGGAGTCGCAATACAGGAGGATTCGGATTGGTTGCTCATTTGTGTAACGCTCTTGAACGAGGTGAATATCTGTTCCAACAGCCAAGCAGCGCTAATGACTCTTGGCTCTCTGATGGTTCGTTCCGCATGGCGAGGGATTACTTAACTTCCCTATCGACCGCATCGGATTATTATGCTATTAAGTTCATTTGGGTTTCAGGTCACGGTAAATTCGCTGGAAACTGAATGGTCGATGGGCTGGCAAGATAAGAACCCCTGAGGAACTGATGGGCGTTTGTTCAGCTCAGCAGGCGCTAGGCGAAGACCTTGGAATTTAAGGTCGCAAAATCCATCTGGCCACGTGTAGACCGGGGGCGGTCCAGGGAGCTCTTGGAACTAAGAAAGGTCTTGCTAGTGGTGGCAGTTCTAACTGGTCATTGTCTGGTAGCGTGTTGCCTCCATATATAAGGTCCGTAAAAAGCTTCTTCTACGGACTATGTTTGGTCGTTACCGGTTTATATCTGCGAGGACTATTGAGAGCTTTTACCCTCTGCGCCGCCGTACAAAATTTGAGAGAGCTTTTCAAAAGCTCCTTTGTGTTGGTCAGGACAAGTCTGAATACAATCCGGCGACTACGGCTTCGTTGGTTTGGAACTCTTTAGATTTTTATTTCTTACTCCATAAAATATTTCCTTTTACCGTTCCTCCGTGATAAAACACATTTTTGTTTCACATTCTTATATAATATGTATACTTAATATTTATATATCTAATTAGATGTTGCCAATTAGTATGTTAAAAAAATAAGGTACGTATGTATTTTGCTTACATAACAAAAGACTTAAGCCAAATTAAAGTTCAGAAATTCATAAAAAATTGTACACACATAACAAAACTGAAAACAATTAAAATATCCTTACAATAAACATTAAACATCAAAAAACAGTAACTGAAATTTGTTCAAATAAAATTTTTGCTGTGTTTTAGTATGCGACAAATAGAGAGATCAATCAAATCCATGAAGCACTGAGTAGTTATTGCTTTGCAAAAAATTTTGACATTTAATCAATTGTGGCTTTTTTGATAATACTTGATTAGTGAGTAAACAAATAAAGCATTTGGAATTTTATTTAACAACATAAAGACACTTATTTTGATTTTTTTTGTGGTGGTTGCAGATTTTTCATATTTTTCTGTTTTTCATTTTGTTTTCGAGTAAAAAAATGTGTGCGTTTTTACGAGTATTGATGTTTTTTTTATTCGTTAACCAAAAATCAGAAGCTTCGTCTGGGTCTGGTTGGAATTTATAAGGTAGAAAATAGAAAAAAGGAAAGAAGAATACAAAACTAAATGTAAGAAGCTGCATAGCAAAATTAAAAAAAAAATATTAACAAGAGCTTAAAGCTGAAAGCAGTTTTTTACATTAACAATAAACTCATCTAGTTTCATATACAAGATGCCTCAAGTCCTCTGAAAAGCTCTGACGAATTAAAAAGCTTGAACTGTGTTTATAAAGAAAAGCTCTACGTTCTACAAATATTTTCTCTTCTTCTTGGAAAGCTTGCAAAAATTTCAAAAATCCTATGAAAGCCTTTAAGTTTATCCAATTTTATTGTGCAGCAAATGTATTTTGTTCTCAGAAATGCTCTGAAGAGTGTGAAAAAACTCTATCTGTGTTTGCAAATCAAAGCTCTAAGCTGAAAAAGTATTAACCTATTTTACATGTGAAAGCTTTTAAAAAGCTTAAAGTTATTCAAGGTGTCTTTTTAAGTCGCTTTTATATAATGTTTATGCTGATACCTTATTTAATTTAATAAGAGATATTGTCTTGAAAAAGCTCCTTTCCTCATAAAATAGGCTAGCTAATTTAATAAGTAATCAACTTAAGAATGTAATAAAATTAAATTTCTACACTTTAAGCTCTATCTGAAAATAATTTGTGCTTTAAAAGCTGTGCGCTTGAAGAAGCACCACAGGAGCTTTCGATTTAATGTGAATAGTACTTGTGTACAAAAGTTTATCTTTGAATTTGTTGGAAAACTTCTATTACATAATTTATTTTTTGCAAGCAAACTCTTAAAAGGCTTTAAGCTTCTTCTCATAGTT